CGGCAGAGCTGGAGTTGCTCATTTACGCAGCGCTGGAGTCACACATGGGTGTGACAGATGCAATGGTCTTTACAGCAGCAATGTCTAGATGCTATCCAGAAACAAACAGCTGTGACATTACTGCCTGGCAGCTTGAAACTGCCGCTTTGATCCCATTTTGTACGCGTGTTGTCACTTCTGCTGATACCCAGTTTTGCCCATAGGTGGCAGTGACCTTTCACGTTTTCTTTACAATGGGGCAGAAGCACGTGTCCATATGTATTTCTGTCACTAATTTTACTGAAGGATCTGGGCCAGGACTGCGGGGCTGTGCTGCTGACTGGGTTCTGCACCCCCAGGAATGGTCACACACTTCTCACCCTTCTTCAGTAGCCGTTTTACTCCAGAGCACAGCAAACGTGCAGTTGTAAGACAATAGAATACATCGTAAGTTGTAATGCATAGAATGCAAACCTCAGTGCAACACAGTTAATTGATCACTGTTGCAAGGAGGGGAAAAGTCTGCAGAGATATTATATATGTGCATGGTGGCGAACTGCGTTGGGTGTTTCAGGGTCGTATTCCGAGAGGATTATGTAGCAAGTTTGTGCCATTTTTATCCAAAATACCCTCCAAGTCTCACCCAGCTTTCTATGGGAGAGTTCTGGTGAGTGAAAATCCCTAAAAATCCCACATGACCACTCTGTGTGCTTTATTTCAGTGAGAATTACAAACGTGACTGTAGAAAATGGGTAATCTCTCCTAGGGCAAAATATGACAGAGATCAGAGCCTCTGATCTCTGCTCCATATCAGTTAAAGATAACTTACTTGACTCGAGTAGAGCCGCACCAACAGGAAACCGGAGTAATTGAGAATCAAGCTACACATCATTGTCAAACTAAAGAAAGAAATTAAAAATGAATTTTCTTCTCTTGCTCCCTTCAGATATGCACTGATTTTACAGCACATGTGGAAAAGGAAGCACGTAACCTGCAAATATTCCATCCTCTGCTTAAGTTGTCTCCTGGCATAAACCAGGCGGCCTTGTGAATGGAAAACAGAAGTAAATCCTCCAGATTCAACCAGATACTAAATTTACCATCGAGACTAAGCAGTAGGATTTGAATCTTGTTTTCTTCTCTTCTGATAGGATAATACTTAAAGTTGCTAGGAAACGGAATTACATAGCAAGGACAAGAGGCCATTGTACATCCATGGGGAAACGTTGGCTGTTTTCCACCATAAATCAGAAGTTCTGATTTATAGTGGAAATATCAGTTGAGAAGATAAAACCCCTGTAAAATAACTGCACTCTGAAATCAAGGCTCTGTCCTACAGCCACTATTTATGCAGCGACTCTCAGCAGTGCACGACTGCAGTTCATGTTTCAGCATCAGTGGGGCCGTTCAGTGTCCAGCACGGCATTAGGCATTTAGCAGAGAACAATAGCCATCTCTGGAGAAAGGCCCAGCTTGGATTTCATGTCAGCTAGGATGCAGCATGAAATAGAAACCAGATCTGGACCATCTCTTTAAAGCAAAGGTTTGTAGAATGGGGTTAGGAAAAACCCACAACAAGCCTGAGCTCTGTAAACAGTAACTGGAAGCAGACACTTGAGGCTGAAAGGAGAACTGCCCCCCTTCTTGCATTCAAATTCTACTGAATGTGATTTAGCAGAACTACTCCTTTCCTTTAACTAAAACTCTCCAAAAGTTGCTCTCATCCATACCTCTGCAGCTCCACTAATTTGTACAGGCATAAACCAGAGCAATAATAAAACAGAAGGGCACTTGATACCCATAGTGGCTGTGCAGGACATCCAACAGGATGAGCACTGAGGCTGGAGCTGGCCCCCAGACTTCCTCTTTCAAGGTGTGTCTCAGAATAGTTTGTCTGTCTTCTTTATTTGAGTAGCTTTGACAGTACAGATACATACACATACTGAGCCAGTCAATAGGAACCTTCCTCTGGACTTCAATCTGGTTTGCCTGTCAACCGTGTTGCAGGGACTATGTTTGGTCCCAAAGAATTCACCGTCCTAAAGCATAGTGAGCTCAAAGGGTATATAAATGTTTTTTTAATTAAGGGCAAAAGAAAAGTAAAATTAAAAACCCCACAAACCAACAGGTTTATGTGTACTTGTACATAGGAAAGAGGCTAAAATCTAATCAAACACATTGCTCCTGAAGTGAAGTTTAAAGAAATCAGAACAGTTTCACTAAGTGCTGAATTATCTAAAGGACTAATAGTAAATACCTAGGTAAGGTTATGCTTGGACTGCAGTCAGAGCTGCGACTCCAGAGGTATGAACATAAGCAAACCATTTTAAACTGACTAGCTTGGGTATCAGTAGTGCTGCACCTGTGGCAACACAGGATGCTCGAAAAACACATCCAGGACCACAGATGATGGTGTCTTTGGTTCAACTTGTCTCGTGCTACCGTTACGGTCTTGGCAGCACTCAAACTGGCCAAGGAAGTGTAGCTCAGTTACGTGTGTGAGCTGCAGTCGACCAGTGAGGCCATCCAGAGCTGGACAAACACTTCCACAGCCACAGGGAAGAATTCTCCCCAGAGAGGTTGTTATAGATAACCGCAGGACATACAGGGCCCGGTTTACAGCATGTACAAGATGATTTTATATGCTGCCTCTTTTCTCTCTTTTTTTTTTTTTCAATGGAAACCCAGCAAACATATAAAACCTCACCAAGCCACTGTGATTTATTAATCTATTTTGGTCTTTTTCACTTTATTCTGCTACTAACTCCATGTTACTAATCTATTCAGTCCTAATAGATGAGGCAGGTTTAATTGCACCCCATTTTCCTCAACAAACAAAGTGTGTTAGGTTGTACTGGGCTTGGTGAGCACCTGAGAGCCCCTGTGCATAATTGGTTTGAGATGGTTGGTGCAGCCTCATGACTGTGAGGGCAGGTGCCTTGGGGAAAGCGGGTGGGACTTACTACGAATTGAAGCAGCCTGTCAAGGTCTGTCACCATTGGCTGGCTCTTAATTTGAATTAGGCAGGAAATTCATATGTATGAGAAAGAAAAGGTGTTTTTCTTCCCCCCTCCACCCTGCAGGAGCTATGGGGAATACAAGGAGTGTCCCTGAGGGAGGTGAAGGAGATGACGCATGCACAGTAAAGAGCTATCAGGTAAGCAAGAGCTGTCCTCTCTCAATATCCCTGGTTATTGCATATTGCAGTTTTCAAATCCTATTATGCACCCAGTCCTAAGAACTGCATTTTTGGCTATTTCAGGCTCTATCTGAATCTCCTGACAATATTAAAAATGGATCTGTTGCATTTGTTCAGGCTCATTGTCCTGCAGTGAATGGTGAAGGTATGTACTGGGTGGCACGTTTGTACTTCTTTTGCCACTAGACAGGCAGAGAGAGGTTTATGCTGGAGCAGCAGTAAATATTGGTACATGGTCTCAAATTAAAAGATGAGTCCATGTAACAGCTCTTCCTTGTGGACCAGTATGTGTGGCTTTTCAGAAGCTTGAAAGCTTAAAGATAATGAAGAGTAAAACAGGAAAACATTTCCCAAGTCCTCTGGAGTAACTGTTGTGAGGGAAGTGTGTGTGCTGTTGGTCAGGCTGCTTTGCTTTGCCAGCCCTTCTCTGGTCACAGTGGGAACAACTCTGGGGCTATACAGAGGCTGGGCTGTTATGTGGGGAGCCACCATAATATTCTGTTTATAAAAGAAATCAGCAATGTGTCCTGGACTTAAGGGTCTATCCCCAAATTGCCTACTACTGGTGCCTAAAGATAGGCTTCTACAAACCTTTGCAGAAACGAAGTGTCTTGGTAGGGATAGAGGAGGTAAAACAGTAATGGGCCAGAAAACTTATTATTGTCATATTGCTCTGGGTAACACTGGTCTGTTTGCTAATGAGCCTCACTTGGTTCAAGTTGCATAAGGAGCTTGAGGAAGGCAATTCAAGGGATGCCTGAGGTTGGCACAACAGCTCACCCTGTGGCTTTGCCATGATTCTGAGGGGTGCTTACCAGCTAACCCAGGCTCTCACAACAGCAAGTGTAGCAAATGGTGATGGAATCACGCAAGCCCAGAAGAAATGTGTTAGTGTAAATTATTGAAGTCCCAGAGTAATAGTGTGTTAAGATGATGAAGGGAATAAGGGAGTAGGAAACTGTTGGAGGCAGGAATGGGACTTTTTGTAGTGTCTGCAATAAAAGACATTCTTCTGACATGTTCTGCATGCCCTCAGCCTTCTGGGGGTGGGTTGAGCAGTTTAATAGAAGGATGGTTTTCAAAATTCTTTGCAAGCTGGTTACAAAAAATGAAATAAAATTTGAAATAACATCCAGATCCTTGCGACATGTTCTCATCCCCGAGTTTGTATAGTCTTAAACACCACCTCTGCACTTTTGCTGTGACACCAGAGTTCTGATCCTTTCGGTAGCAATTTCAACAGATGATACAATAGAATGTGAGCACCTTTTTGTTGATCTAAACATTTCCATCTTGTTCTCTGACTTCTGGTCCTGTGTTCTTGAGTAGGTGCATTGCTTTGATTTCAAAGATAGCAAACAATGATTTGTTAAGAATGAAATATGTATAGGGATGTATTTTTCTGTCCTGTTTGTCACTTAGAAAAAGTGATTGGCTGGGAAAAGTACTGTAAGGTGGTAGGCATTATACCTGCAGGGATGCTGTTCTAAACCTCCAGACCTGAGAGTTTTGCCACTTCTGATTCTGAGCTGGTCCTTAATGGTACCTTTCATATATAGAAACCTACATTGCCCTCATTTTAGAAGTGTCAGACCTTCCTGAAGAGAGCAGAGTGTGTCTAATCTGCAGAGAAATCTTCAAAAACAAAATATAACCGTGTCAACTGCCTGTGTTTGAGTTCTAGAGAAGTTAGGGTATAGCACAGACATTTATAGAGCTGGGAATGCAGCATGGCCTGACAATATTACTGCTAAAAGGTCAGTCCTGTTTACCAGAATTTATTCAAACTGGGTCACAAGACTGATGTTGTAACCCTGACCACCTCTCTCCTGATGCTATTATAGGATGTATTAGATATTACTCAACTACTGCCAGGACAACAAGAGCCTGTCAGGGGGTATGATGACTTGTTTCTCTTTCTTTGTATACTAATGAAATAAAATTTATATGTGTGAACTGTGGGTGTTAGTGCAGAAGGTGAATAGCTGGGGGGGGGGGTATATGTAAATCACTGCTCAGTAATAGAATCCCATTTCAGACCTAGTTGGGTGGTGTTCAGAGCAGGACAGCAATTAGGGCTTTGAGTGACCATACCAGGGGCAGGCTGGACCGTGGGCTGCCCATGGGAAGGTGCCTGTCAGCAGCTGAGCCCCGCTTCCAGTGCTGATGTCCTGAAAATCTGGTGTCAGCTACACAACCTGAGCATTAAAAATCTGTCTCCAAGTAGTTTTGGGACAGTATCTCCACATATTCATGGGCGATTGCTCCCATCCACAGATGTGTGTGTCTCCTTGCCTTCCAGTGCCTCATTAATTCCTCCTTCCACATCTTGTTGGCTTTGGAGCCTTTGGAGAGGCATTCAGGCAGCATTCATTTGGAGCAGCATTACTTCAGTTCACATCTCTGCAGATTCAGCCACGTTAATTTTGCCACTGTTTGCCTTGCGTTGGGTTTCTTTCTGTTTTCAGAATACAATAAAAAACCAACAATTCTGTCCAATCTCTGTAAAGAAAGAAAATACTATTTTATTTAAGAGAACCCTCTCAGCCTGTTAACATCCAGTTGAAAAATCTAAGCTTAGGCACAAATAATCAAAGACTGGCATGGCAATATGCAGATGGTACTGATTACAGCTCAGAATCTCTGTTCCATGGCTGATTTCCTAATGCCATCTAGCTATAATAACTCAGTTTAAACAGTTGCCTACTAGAAAATAAAAGCTTGTAGCTGTGTGTTTCAGCTAGTGTAAACCAGCAATGTTCTGGGAAGTAAATAGAAGCCAGATGATTTACATTGTCTGGAGACCTAGAAAATAAGTGTACATTTTACTCTTACTACATAAAATGAAGCATATGGCATTGTTTTACTTAAATGGATTACCTAATTAATGTAATTACTAAATCAGTTTAAGTAGCAAGTTGAAAAATTGGACTGTGTCGATATGACTTGTATTTTAACTTTATTAATGTTTAAAAAGCAGTTAAAATCATTAACTATTTTGATATCACTGCAATCTCACTGGTTTCTGTTAATGTAATCAAGGTCCTGGTGAAATAAAAATGCAAGGGATGTTTGAAGATAGAAGTTATTCCTATAGAAAATGTAGTTGATAGCCTTTCTAAAATGAAATAATGCAAGAGCTAGTACTGTGATTATTTTATAGTCATGAAGTGAGCACCTCTGGAGAAGACAAAAGAGCTGCAAAAAAGCAAGTGAAGCAATAGGATTTTATTAATAGTGTTAGATGTATGTTTGTGGTCTTTGTCCTGTTAGTTTGCATTTCTGCGATTGCCAGTGATCTGACCATGTGCTGTGCATTAAATGGTATAGTTGATAAATGAGTCTATGAAATCTATATCTGCTAATATAATGAAAAAGGAATCCAGAGAGTTAACTTAATCTGACCAGAGGAAGTAATGTTATTTGGAAGAGCCCCATCACCATCTGTTTCACATCTAGGTGAGCAGATTGGTGACTGGTTCCCTGTGTTTGCTGCCTCTGCTCAAAAAGGCTGACAGATGTGTGGACTTGGGGATTCTTTCCATGACTTGCCTTTCCTGACTCTATTGATTATCAGGGCTGCAGACACTGCACATCCACCTGCTCATCCTGTAATGCCATTTAAAGAGTAGTGGTGCCCTTAATGCTGCTTCATGGTGTGTTGTTTTGCAAGCAAATGCATAGCAAACTTGATCCTGGCTTTACTTAACGTTTTGTGTTGGCCTTTGTTGAAGTACTTACTGGACAGCAGGTAAAGGGAAGGAGACCAGAACAAAAAGCCATCATATAACCCTGAGATTCGCACTACACAGCAGAAATTTATCAGAACAATATGGGACAGTTTTTGTTTGTATTTGGGTGGTAATTACATGCAGATTAAAACAATGATCTGCTCATAAAAGGGAAAGATTACACAAGGAAGAAAAGCTCAGTTAAGATGCAACTCCTTTGTTCCAGAGGATAAATGTGAGTCAGTATCTAGCAGAAATCAGTGTATCACAATAACTCTGTGTGCCTGTAAGGTGTGAAACACAATGTAGTCTGTTGGGTTTGTGAGGGTTTTTTAACGAATGATCATTACTATTCTTGCTGTTTGTTTTTCTTCCCTGATTTCCATTAAATTCAGTAAATATATCAGGTAAATAACAATGCTAGTTAACTTAGTGAAACACAATTATTCTTAGAGCATAAATGTACCATCAACTATATTTGCTTGAAGTAGTCAAGCAAGATTGTGGAAGAATATTAGTATGTGTTTTCTTTTTTAAGAAAGGGGAAAATGTCTTATTTTGAATTCTCTAAAGCTTCTGAAAACTCAGTTATTTGGTCTTGTCATGAATATTTGGGAGTCTCCCAAACAAACATTAGGTACATCTGAAGATCTAAAAATTCTACATCTATTATAGCATTATGACACCAACTCAGTTCTAAATAATGGAAGGAAAAAATACCTTTTGTTATACCTATAAAATTACTAGAAATTTTAAACTTCACTCTTTGTTGCTATTTAGATTTTTAAGGCTAGTATTTGCTGCAGCAATTCATTCAGGGCTATTGTAATTCATTGTGCTGGCTTACACTGATGGACTTCTTAGTGCCAACTGTTGCCTTGTAGCCCTTAATGGTTCCTTCCTGGCCATTTGTATCTATTGTCTCCATGATTATCTGAACCCTAGGGAACGAGCTAATGCTGTGGTACTAGAATTACATTACTAAGCAAAATACCTGTTTCTAACTGGCTTGTATTCGAAATAGCCAAAGATACTAAAACCATATTTGTAGCTGATTTTTTTTTTTTTCTACTGACAAATGTAAAAACATTTTCTCCTGGCATTTATTTTCTGGCATGTTCACATTCTAGTGGCCTACAGAGGAGATGTCTGTGCTGAAGACCTTGCCAGTTCAAGTTGTTCCTCATTCAACAGCTAAAAATTACTTGCACTGTCAAAGAGTCAGGATAAATGGCAGGAGGTGAAAAGCTGCCAATGTAAGACACCACAGGACCTTATTTTACATGTTCCCTATGTGTAAGTATTAGACATGAGGGTGCATGTAACTGCTGAAACCAGATTAACAATCAAGGGCTAAGGAAAAGGAGCATGTTTTAAGAAAGCAAGGATTTAACTTGGCTAAATTGAGCATCAAAAATAGATGTCTACCTAGTATGTGGCTTAGGCTGCTGCCAGGTGTAAAAAGAGCAAACTAAGATTCAGAGATAGTCAGGAGGAGTGGGGAAGGTAATCTGGAAGTGATAGACAGAACTGCTCTTGGTCCCACTTGAGGAACTTTGGCTGCCATCCATTCTGTGCACCAGGCTGAAGTCTGGTTATATTCCCATTGATTAGCAAAAGCAAATCAGCTGAAAAAACCTTGGTTAGCCTTTTTATTTGTGTTGGTCTGGTGGCTCTGAACTTCCTTTCATGTCAATTGCATCCTTAGTATTCCTACCCCTATTTGCTATTCCCTCTGGTTGAGTGCTGCATCTTGGTCCCAAACCCATGCGAAATAGGTGCTTCACTGCCAGCACTCTACACTCATGCTTTGAGCTCTGCTGCCTGCCCATGGGGTCTGGGTACCCTGGGTCCCATAAAGAAATAATTCAATACCTATATAGTTGTTGCGGCTCATATGGCCATCCTGAAGCCTGTGCTCACCATAAGGCTTTGTCCATTACAATATTCTATCTGCTGGCTCTGTTTATTAAAACCTAAGCACTTGCTTTTCAAAATGCAGTGCTAATTCTGCAGACGTGGTCCCATTCTGTGTCAGCAAACGTAGTGCTGTTCTTCATCCACCACCTATGGAAGTGCTGAAAATGTTGAAGGCAAGGATACAAAAGGAAGGGGAAGAAAGTCTGTCAGCAATTACTTCTGAGCAGGGAAATGGTATTGACATAATACTGCACTTACCATTACTCTTTTCTGTACAATTTTTATTAAAGAAAAAAAACATTGGTTTAATCTAGCAAATTTCAGAATAAATATTCTTATTTTGCATATCTTCTTACAGAAGACGGGCTTTGTGCAGCCATAGTGTTTCCTTTCAACATATGCTGATGAAGTGAAGGGAAAGGAAGGACAAATCTGTAGTGTGACTGTCTCTTATTAAATACATGAAAGGGAAATGCCTGTGTAGTAGTAATATGAAATGCAATCTCACAGCAGTGCTGTAAATTGTATATTGATTTTAGTTTCAGAGCAGTTATTAATCTCATTAAGTGAGCAGCTTTGATCTACTTGCAGACCTGGCCTAGAATTTAAGATGTTTTGCTTCTATCCCTAATACTGCCTCTGGATTGTGGAATAATTTTGGAAAGAATGGCACTTGTGTCTCTAAAAAATATGCACTTTTCATCCAAGTTGCTGCCATTTCAAAGCCTTTCTCCTTCACAGTTTGCTGTGAATACAGCATGAGTCAAGTTCTTGTGTTCGTCCCACCACAGCAGCATCTCCTCTCTGGTGGTGGGATCTGCATTGCCTGGTGTCTGAGCAGAAACAGTCTGAACTGTTTTGACACAAGAGACACACTGCAGAGCTCATGCTGGTGATGTTTTCCAGGTCTTTCATTCCTTCCATGATAATTGGAGATAAAAGGAACTTGATAGGTTCATAAGCTACTTTTTGGTTGGTTGGTTTTCTTAATGACAAGCTTATATTCCTATTTTTATACTAAAGACAGTTTTCCTGTGCTTCATTTTATCTTACATGAAGCAGAAGTTTAGCATCTATTACAATTATTTTCCAGTGGATATTGTTTCTGCTTTCTTTAGCTGGGGAAGGGTTTGCTTTTTGCTTCTTTCCCAAGTTTCCAACTATAATTAGAAGTTAGTGCTTCACTTTTTTCATGTAGCACTATAGGAGACTTGGGAAACTATAAGTGATACTTAAAGGAATAAAAATCTACTTATGTGGGCAGAACAGGTTGTACTGATGCATTCTGGTTCCTCTGCGTGCTTAAATATGACCAAAACACAATAAGAAAGCAAATGTCATGTTAATGTTAGAAGTGAAGAAGCTAGGACCCAGCTCCCCAGCAACTGGTAAAATATTGGCTGCAATTGAGTCCTGCCACCACAGCCCTGGTGCGTGTCCCTGCTTTGTCCCCTGCCTCCGCTGCTGCCAGTGTTTCAGTCAAGTCACTTGAGGTTCGGGCTGGCACTTCTCACCTCTATGGTCTATGGAAGCTCCCACCTCCTGCTAGTCAGGACCAGCCCTGAGCTGTGAAGCAAGGGTCTAGCAGGGATGCTCGGTCACAGAGTTAGGGCTGTGGGGAAGCAGATGTAACAGCTGGATGCTGGAACTCTGTTCTGCGTTTCCCAGGGACACGACCAGGGACCCTGGGTGCTGCAGGAGGAACAGCATCAAAGGGTTGCAGACATGTGTTACACAGTGTCTGCTGATGCTTACGTAGTGTTACAAAAACTTCTTCAGGGGGGTGGAACATTGGGGTAATTTAGCTGTGAAGAGCTAAGGGGTAGTTTTGAAAGCTGTGATCTACAGATATTCTGCTTTCCTTACCTTAAAAAGGAAACTGAGCGGTGCAGGTCTATGCTGTGGAAGGCAGGTGTTTTAGTCAGGATGTGTTGGCATCTGGGGTTTTATTGCTGTTAAAGTAAAATGTGAAGGCATAATATTGACTTGACTATTGCAATTATCATTTGAAATAATTTCAATTTTACACTAAACCTGACAATTTTAAAATTCTAATTTAGAAAGTCAGTTTGAGACTGTCAGTTTTTTGCTTATAATGAAGATGATCTAAATCCATCCTTGAAATCTGTGGCAATGATTGACAGGGAAATCAGAGACATATTCTAGTCAAAGTAGGGAAAAGAAGCTCGTGCTGAGGAGAAGCTGTAAGGTTTACCTCTTGACAAGCCTCCTCTTATTTACTGGGGTTTCACACCATGTAATCTGTGATTCAGTCTCCCATCCACAAAACAGTGTTTTTTTTCTTGTCTTGTTTCTTTTGTCTTCTGTAAAACAGGAGCCTTCTCCAGTCTGCATACAGGGCATTGGGGATTTTAACCTTAGTTCTGTTATCAAAGTGCCATTGTAATATAAAATCATAACATATATTTTTAAGATGAAAGATCTTTTCACATCTGAAGTGTGATTGTCAAGGAGAATTATCTGTGAGAATTTGGCAGGGGGGGAAATATGATTAAGAGCAGTTTGTGGGTAATAAGAGTCAGTAACACAAGGATAAGAACCCTGGCTCAGATGTGATTTACAAGTATTCAAATCAGGCTTAAACTAACCTACAGACAATAGAGGAGAAGTGCAAGTAGAAACCGCGCTATGGAGAGCAGGCAACAAGGCAGAGTACTGGAAAAATGAACAAAATAAGTTATGACTGCAAAGCCCTGTGGGGAGTTTGGCAAGCCAGGAAACAAAATCAATCCTTGCAGTTTCCACCCTTTTTTCCCATTCAGCTTTGACAGAGGAAAGTGTAATATATTAATATATAACTTTGTCTCAAGTTTTACTGACTTTTCTTTTGCATCTCACTTCTTGAATCTTTATTGGAAAGTAAAATATCCTCAGCATGTCCACTGGGCTTAACAGGCAAAAACCTGGGCCGTTATCTGACTTTAGCAGTTGAGAGGGGAGTGTGGAGAACATAAAACTTGTACCTACTTCAATGAAGAGTAACAGGGAAGAAAATCAGACGGGCAGGTCTGATCAATGCATGGCAGCTTGTATTTAGCACAGGAAGACAACGGGGTCTGTCAACAAGCTGCATTCTGTGTAGTCCTCCCAGAGGCTCCACATCTCAGATTTAGTTTATTAAAGAGTGAAGTCACCATAATTAATTGTACAACCGATGTAACTCCTTTGCTGTGCTGGATAATTACTGTTTTATGCTTCTGTTTGTAGTGGATGCAAAGGCAAGTGTTGCACGGGATAATGTGGCCATTTCTTCCCCAAAGACAATGGAGCAGAGCCCTGTTCCTGTGGCAGGCGGGCAGAGCCTCGGGAGTGCTGCCAGCAGAGCTCTGCCATCTGCTAAACCCCGCTCTGTCTTCGCGTTTGCATGGTCTGTACCAGGGCGTACTGAAGATCCAGCGACAGATTCATCACTTGGAGTGGGGAAACTTGATGTCAGCTCGGAGGCGCCCAGAGCGAACAAAGCACCAAGTGACAGCGCGGAGGTTCCTGCGGCAGCTGGGTGGGAGGAAGGAGCACATAAAAACCTGACCCAGGCCCCGGTGGCACCATCCCTTCATGACATCGATCTCACAGCATCGGTGACACCTGAGGGAGAGGATGCAGCTGCCTCAAAGCCAAAACAAGTAACCTTCTTTGACAGATTCTTCAAGCTGGAGAAGGGAAAGGAAAGGAGTAAAGTGCAAATTGATACCCAGGAGGAAAGGCAGACTTCAGACCTTCCTGACGGGCACATCACAGCGAAAGAGGCTGCTGGATTACAGAGCACATCAAACAGTGTCCCAGAGGGGAAGGCAAGTGCTTGAGTCAAAATATCCATTTCATTCCTAATGAAACCTCTTAGGAATATTAACAGCACAGGACAACGTAACGCCGCGATGCGGTGTGACTGAGTCGGTGTTGCGGGGTGGCTGAAGAGAGGTATGGGAGAGGAACCTAAAGCGGAGTGGGAATAGTTCTGATGTCTGCCTCATGACTAAATGCTGGCATCTGACCTCGAGTTTAAATTCACTTGTAATTCTCTGACAGGTTTGGGCAAAATAGCTGTGTTCACGCTTCAGTTGCCAGGATGTTGAACAGCAGCCAGCTACGAGTGAAGGCAAAAATACCTGAAAGTAAAATAGTTTCTTGTGGTTTAGAAGCTTGGAGTTTGACACTGGATGGTTTTACAGTAGCTCTGTTGCATGTTTTGTGCCATTCTTAAAAGAGTCACTCTTCAGCAATAGCTGCTTGTTGCATACCCTATGTAATAGAGTAAGTAATATTACACAGTAGCAATTCTTGCATTCTTAGATATTGTGATTTTTTTCCTTTTTATAGTCAAGGAAACGTGGTCCCTTAGAATTGATTTTACAGGATGAGAATGTGATATAAGAAATTAACTTGCCTGAGAGCACACTACTCAAAGGAGCTGAAAACAGACCTGGGTTTAGTTTTTGCACTTCCTGCAAAGTTTGACGTCAGCAAATACACTCTAGGATTAATTTTCAAGTAATTAACTGTTAAAAAAGTCCATCCCTCAGATGGGGATAAGTGTCATAACTTGTATAAGCTCTGCTGGAGAGGTGCCAGCGTGCACTAATTGGTGATCTAGCTCAAATACTGTCCAACACCGGTAACGGCGGAGAAACTAGCTGCATGGCTCCCTCATCACAATCTGTAAATGCCATTTTAATAGTAACTGCGTTTGTTGGCCTAGTTTGGGCTTGCAAATAAGACTGTTGTATGATTGGTAATGCTTTGAATAGTGTTGAATGCAGTTCACTTAGAGGCTCACTGCTTGCACTGGTAACATTGCAAGGTGCGCCTACAAGTCTCTTCAATTCCACCTTGTCTCCTCTATCTTATGCCTCCTCACATTTGAAGATCATGTTTTTTACATCAACTGTAATATTTTTCTGAAGTCATTTGTAAGACTGAACAGTTGCATTTTTCACTATTGCCCTCCAGAAGTGGCACCACCGCTGGTACTTCAGACAGCTATATATGCGCATTTAAAGAATCCGTAGTCTCAACCTAGCAGCATATCAAGTCATTCACTACATAAACAGAACAGGGTGAATAATTCAGAATGAATAATCTATTCAGTGCATACTGACACTTCTGTTTGTAGCTTATAAGACTGAAGCTTTTCAACACTGTAAATTCCTGCAGGTATTTTGGACTAATACACACAAAGAATAGCTTTTCCCGTGACTCACAAGAATTGTTACTTTTACAATTAAATGCAGAATTAACTATTTCCTATTTTGCCATGACTGCAAACTACAAAGCGTGAAAAGTCACAGTTTGTGCTGTCAAAGTAATAGAGTGTGAGTCTCTAATGGAATAGCAGTCTGATGCTGCTTTAACCCCACGAGTCAGAGTTAAACATTTGCTGGTAGCAAACAGTCATGTTGGGAAAGCTCAGCTAAGGATGTGTTTGTAACAAGCAACAGGACAAGATAATCTAAGCCTTATTCTGCCATTTCAAACAGGTATTAGAAGCATTCTCTCAGATCAAGTTTTTCTATCAATAATGCCTAGCTTTCTCATTACTTCTGAATCCCTGTTCCAGTCATCAGCTTACATCTATCACATCCTGGGCACTCATCAGTTGTGGGGTGTGTTTGGTATGTGTGTAAGAGTTTGCAGGATCCTAGCCCACACAACAGCTTTTGACATGCTTGAGGACAGGTCTCCTGTGTAACAACATTGCCTGTGCATCTCTTACATGTGTACTTAAAGTTGTACCACAGAAAAACTTTGAGGACTCACAAAATCAGGTTTGAGTTGCTCAGAGGAAGTGAATGGCAGACCTGTATCACAAGGGAGAGTGAAATTTTAACCTTATCCTTAATTTTCTGGAGTATTTCTATCTTTGACTCATCATATATGAAAAGGAATATATATGTTCAGTACAGAGAAGTTAAGGACCTTTCCTGGGAAAAATATATGGATTAAAGAGTGCTGATATGTTGTCAAACTAACTTCATTTCTAAAACAAAGGGTGTGGTTCTGCCTTGCAGCACAGTTGCCTTCTGTTCCCCCTAAAGTGCTAGTTCTCCTGTAGGATGGGAGAATGACCAAGTCTAATTTAATTGCTGTTACTGTAGTAACTACAAACTGTTACCAAATAATCGTACTAAAAATCCAGATATTGCTGCCAACAGTTTCTTTTTTCCCCTGCTTTTTTTTTGGTGGATTATGACTTGTAGTATCTGTAAAAGCTAAAAGCAAAGCAAAGTTTCCCTGAATTGAGTGCCAACACAAAACAAACAGCATTGCTGGTAAGTAAGAGAGAGGCTCCACAGTTGTAGCTTAAGAGCTGCACAAACATTCTGTGTTTGGTGAACCACTCTTTATTTTTGTGGTCTACAAAACTACATTCAGAACACAGCATAATTAAAACAAGGACAGAATTCATGAATTCATGAAACATTTACTATGTTAGCCAAAGAAAAGATAAATTATATGCCTGAAATGTTTCACTGAGCCATGATTCATACAAACAAAAGTGCTGGCAGGGGTACATTCTTTTGATATGTTTTTCTAGTGACTGAACTGAAACTACAGTATAAGTATTTAAGATGTTTATTACCCCCAAATTTGGCTCCTCAAAGAAATGAATTGAACATTTACGTAGTATCTGTTAACTTCTAATGCTGACTTCTGTTATTTCTAGAGTTTTCTTTCACTATTTGCCTCCGGGGCTTTGCACAGTGTATTATACAGTGAGCTGCTGCAGAGAGGTTTGTGGTTATTTGACTATGGCTCTGAAAATGTGACATTGTAGGAGTCCGAATTGTCTCTCCCTGATTTATATGCTGATGATCTGAGTCTCTGCTCCTTCCTACAGCAGTATTCCCATGAAAGGCCAAGATCGCAGCATCTATCAAAGTCCAGGTTCGAGTTGTGTCTCGGTCACTAATGGCAGCCTTAGCTTGGGAATCCTGGAGTAGGGTTCCTTATGCAGTAGTAGGTCATTATGGGGCCCTTTTGTGTTCTGCAAGTCAGTCTTTAGGGATTTTTGGGTAGTGGTGTGATTCCTGTGCTCTGCACAGGCTGCTATAGCTTTCACTTCTGCAGGGCAAAGTGTGTTCCAGGTATATACCCTAAACCAGTTAGTGCTACCAGAGTTGGTACCTGTCACCACTGTGGTTGCCCCAGGTGGTACCTGCTGCTGATAACAGCTCTTTGCTGCAGTTCTGAGCCAAGAGATTCTTGCCTCCTAAGCACAGTAAAACCCACCACCAGCTTGAACTCGTGTGTGAAAAAGGATATCTGATAGCATCCGGTAGTTCAGTTACGAAGCTGGTTTTGTTTAGAAACGTATCTTCTCCCTCCTGCTGCTTTGGTCTCTTGTCTTGTGCCTTTGTTGCCCCCTTACCATCTGAAATAGAGCCAGCATTCTCCATATGACCCGGGCTCTCTAGATGGCATCTCTGGAAGCAGGGCTGCCAAAGCTGGCCTGGCCACACATGTTCTGCATGGTACATACTGTACTTGGAGCCATTCTGGCCTGTAACTGGCTGCTGGGCAAAGTGGTGTGTTAGAAACCTTGTAAGAAACTTCTAAATAGCCTGTTGAAGCACTCTCAACCACTGTGCTGCGTTTCTTCCTGGGTAAACTTGGAAAACAGTGGGTGGAGAATTAGACAGAAGTCTATTCTTGCAAGTAAAGCCTCGTGCATTTTAACTCCTTAAATGCTGTGCAGAGACTGGCCACTCCGTGCTTATATTTCCCTATGACAAATTAGCCCTCTGAAGTTTTAAAACGTTTCTCTTTAGCCTACTCTTTCTTTTAGTGCCCTACAGAAATGTATGTCCCTGCAAATCCTATACAAATATCATGGCCCCGCACAGGGAAAGGTTCTCAAGAGTAAAACTTTATTTTACCTTCTCTTAGTAGCAATTGCACTGAACTATGTCGAATCGGCAGACTAGGAAAAAACCCTTGGTGTCACTTAGAGCTCCAGGTAGTCTGACAGCAGTGATTTAAAGATGCTCTTTACTGGAGACACATGGACAGGCCCATCAGTTTTCTTTTTTTGTCCTGATTTTTTTTCTCTGCAGTAATCTGGGCATTTAGTATCCTAACAACTGCTTCTCAAGTCACTGTTTCTGAAGTGACCAGAGGTGTACTGCTGTCTAAATAGCTGGGGATGGTAACTTCTGCTGAAGAATTATGGCACTGCTATGTTTGCTGTTCACTAAGGTCTCAAATCCCCTACCAAAGTGGAGGCCACCACTGTGCTGGGCACAAATTACCTTAATAATAGACAGATCCAGCCTTGCACTTACCATGTAGGCAGATAGACAAAAGTGAGGAGGATTATTGGTTACAGACATTACTAGCCAGATGTCGTACACTTGTATATTATGGGACATGAAGACTCGCCTCATGCTGCTCTGTCCTGCACATTTGTGTTGGCTTTACCTGTGCAGGCTCAAGGTGAAAGTGGCCAGAATGGCAGCCAAATTCAGTGTAAAAGGGTGCCAAGCTCTCCCAAACTGGTCCAAGAGAGTTTTTTGAGAATCAGACCCTTGTTTAAGTGTCTAAAGGGAAACTGTGTGACAATATTACACACTGGCGAGTGCTTGAGCACTGAAAAACATCAAAAAACGTTTTTGGGCTCTAGGAACTGTAATTCCAGGAAGAGAGGAGGCAGCTCCATCTGACTCAGAAGAATTCCTTTGGGTTGTTGCTTTTTGTGTTTGTTAGATAAAAATTATTTCTGGAACTGCAGAATACAGAGTATCAGAAGCAATTGTTGTATGGTACAATCAGACACTGAGCCATCAAAGGCCAAAATCTCTGCATTTGTTCTTATTCACAAGTTCAGCCTTGAAGAGAGAAAAGTGGTGGTGTTTGGGATGCTGTGTGCGACTTTTACTTGTATTTGTTATACTTGGTAGCTGAGAACAATGTTCCTTCAACCAATGGGAAATGCCAAATATATTAGAAAAGAGGGGGGAAAGAGATGTATAAATGCTCAATTGTTCTGAATATGTAGGCTGGGGAAGTATGGTTGGAATTAGGGTTGTGACTCTCAGAGCAACATAATGCAAGTCACAAACGTTACTTTTGCATTCCACTGGAAATTAAGCAAGTTAGGACTGAGGGAACTCTGCCCCCTTTTTTATAGGAGATAGATGCCTGCAACCAAAAAGACCTACCGCAGGACTCTGCAGGTGTCAACAGCCCCACTGCTGAGCAACCTCAAAAGGCAGAGGGAAAACAAGAAAGCCCTCAAACAGCTGTTCCAGTAGATAACTCCATCATGAGTTTCCTTAAAACGCTGGTAAGCTTTTGCCTTTCCTTTTCATCTCTAGGCTATGCTTTAAATTGCTTACAAAAACCCCATGTGGACATGTTGAGCTAAATATAATGTTTAGCTGTCACAGGCACTGAGAATTAATGAAGCCAGATGCCTTAGAGAATGACTTGAGAGCGATGGAGAGATGTGTAGGTACAGTGCAGTTATGATCAAATGATGACCTCCTCTGGAAACTTCCACTTATACAGACTTGTAGACCTGGAGACATTAACTTGTCCTAAGGATTTTTCTGCATGGTAAAACTTTATTTTGCAATAGCTCTAAAATTCATTTTTATGGATTAATTGGATGTATATACTTGAATAATATTTCTTTGGTCCAGATATTTTCATTTTGGCCATTAATTTGCTGGCAAACATTTACATTACAAACTTGCCCATGGGGGGGGAAAGCAGTATTTGTGTTTATTTCACCTTTGTTAGACTAAAACTGCTAGTTTCAAATATCTGATCTTTCAGAAGACTGATTTGGGTGTGACTGTTTATTTTTCTCAAATATATTTAAGGTGTCCCCAAGCAAAGCTGAAGCCAAAAGTGATTCTGAAGATAAGGTAGGCAGATTCCTCATTCTGTCACTGCTCACCAGATGTTTTTGACACTATTTCCTCCCCATTGTGTTGTTTTTTTTTCCCAGTTGATGTTATCATTTGAAGTAATTTAAATATTTTCCCCATGAATAAATTTGAAAGGAAGATGAGCTTGAACAGAGCAGTTCTTCACCCCCAGTGTTACAACCAAGACTTGAACTGTAGCATTTTCTGCAAGGCTGGTGATGACCTGGTAACACTTTTGGTTGTTACTCTCACTTGTCCTTGATTTCAAACTAGAGGTTCCTGCAGTGAAATCCTCCTGCATCCACAGAAAGCTGCTGCTCAGGACTCTTGCCTTTACTTGCAGAGATGTGGATCAGGGCTTTGTGTTTTAAGCAGGGTGAATTGAACACTCAGCTATTCTAATAAATGCACTGGGCTGACTGCAAGTGTGTGATGTTCCTGCTGGGAACTGAAATATGTATTGGGGGGACAGGCACAGAACCAGTATAAGAAACACTCCTCCATGCAATGGGCAGGTGTGGCCTCTTGATTTCCTCTTTACAACCCATTTGTTCTTGGATTCCACTGACAAGAGGAAACGTGCTTTTTAATGCCATAAGCAGTGCCAGTCCTTTACATGTGAATTCAGAAGAGCTTCATTATTATAGATTTCATTTGCTATTAGAGATATTGAAAATACCAGATTGATCCAATGTATTTAACCGTCTTGTAAAAATAAAGTGGGAAAAACCTAAACTGTAAAAATTAAGTTGAAAACAGTCATCTAAAAATGGGAAAATACAGGTGTTTAAAAACTTTCCCCCTTTTTCCTGTTCTGCTAGTGTCAAAACTTACAATAGCTTCAACAGAAGCAGAAGTGAGACAATTTGTATTAAGCTATCTTAAACACCTTCCAGTGTTTCCATGTCTTACAGGCATATCGCTGCATAACAAGGAACTTCTAGATTATGTCTTTACACCTTGTTACTGCTATAATAACTAAAGTTCTTATTGTGATGCCTGTGATAAAGTTTAATTAACACATAAAGAATAAAAAGAATAAAACCCTACAAAAAGAAATGGTCTTTCCATGCAACTATTGGGTAGCAAAAATCACTACAGGCATCAACATTTTTGTTTTCAATCTTATTCTTCATCCCTTTTGTCCCATTCATTTTTTATATAGCCTGGTAATAAATGAAGTTGGCTTTTCCAGGAAGCGTGGAGGATACACATCACTCCCCAATTATAGCTCAGTGACTCTGGAAATCATTAACCAGGGCTAAGGTCTTCAAAGATATCCAGAAAAGGTGGTTCTCAAATTGCATGGTTTCAGCGAGACTTGTAGTGCTTTCAACACTCCTGAAGAATCCAGTTGTTCAGTCCCGTTTGCATACCTGATTTTATTGAGCACACCCATGTATTTTTATAACTAGTGCCTGTTGGCACGGGTGTACTGTGATTTGGAAATAAATATGCTGTTTGGGTTTGGTTTTCTCACACCTGTGAGGATAAACAAATCCAGGTGACTAGCAGGATATGCAAACATTACAGACAGGTTAAACAAGAGTTCTTTTCTACAAATAATTCCTTTATCTTCACTAGCTTCTTCATACAAAGAATGACATTTTCACTATATTAAAGAGAAAATGGTTAGTTTATCAACTATCATATAGAAAAGCTCCAGATTTTCCGTCTACTATGTAAAGTGAAATAATGGTTATTTCCCCCCTGAGAAATAACTATCTTAATAGTAAAGATATGATCTTAAGTGGGGCTTTCCCCTTTGTGCAGTCTGAGCCCGTCTGAATGTTTTCATGTGGTTTGGCTGGCACAGGGACTACTTTTGAGACCTTGTCACACTTTCATTTTGGCTGCTCCTGCACCTCCTTTGAAGGGAAAAGCTGGAATTTATCACACAGGGGCCGATATATTCCCAGTGTGTCTCAGCAGTGCTCTCCCATGGTGAAGAGGACAGGCAGGCTTTCCCATAAATCTGAGGAAGAGCTTTGCAAAGCACAGCAGCACGCTCCTTCCTGCCGAAGCG